AAAAAAAAATGCAAAACAGGTCTCATTTGTATATATTTAAATACATTTTCATGAGCAAGATAACTAAATCGAAAAACATTTCTAAAGATTTTAACAGAAAATCTATATTTTAATTTTTCCAGTCTTACAGTAAAAAAATTATGAAAATACAAAAAAGATCACGCAAAATTTATTTCAGCAAATTTAAATATGATTGCATATTTTAGTAACATTGTCATTTTTAGATACATTTTATTCAGAAGATTTTAGGTACTATCTAGTAAAAGTGCTTTCTGGTAAGTATTAAAATAGAAAATTCCTCTTTTTCCTTATAAAATTTAAGCAATCTGATGACTCAAGTGTCTTTCTTGCCCCACATTTATTCATATGAAAGTAATAGTATTTTCTCTGACCCTACAAAGGAGAAAAATTTCCTCAACCAGATACAAGAAAAAGCCACTTCCCCAGTCTTACGCCGTTTTCTTGCCACTCAACTGGAAAACAGCTCAGCCTGTTTGCTGAAGTGTCCCCTTAGATGTGGTTACCAAGAAAAAATGTGCAAGAGGACCAAAGATGTAACCTTTACACACTTCTTGAATCTGTGCAATATACCTTACAAATGATACTTTCAGCCAAAGAATTGGCCATATCATATTAACTGACCTTACATTAAAAAATAAGGTAATACAATTTAATGCTAAGACATTAAAAATGGATTATTTGTTAAGATTATAGATGTGATCATGGATAAAATGTACCTAATAAAACCAACAGTTCAAAGCAACCATCAGCCTTAAATTATAAGCTGAATGTCTATCTAGTTGGTTTAATTCAGGCTACTAAAATAAAGGGAACAACTAAACGAATATAATTTTTCTAGGTATAATAATTAATAAGCCAATTTCAGCAAATAGGAATTTACTTTAAGAAATCACTTATTTTATAGCCTATGGTCCAAAGAGGAAAACAAAAACAAACAAACAAAATACATTTTCAAAATGTCTTTATATAGGTTGTAAGCAATTTTTAAGAAACAAGTAAATAAGCTCTTATCTATTATCACAGACATATATTTATCTCATGTACCCAGACTATTATGTTAGGATACCTGCTCTTGAAAATAATGTTTGTGGTGGACTGAAAGATTTAGGAATATTTTGTGTACCATCAATGACTCAATGAGCATAGTATATTTTGTGTTAAAATCTATTATTTGATTACTGATACCCTGTAGAACTCTATGCAAATTGAATATTTAATTATCTATAACTATCTACTCTGGTTAATTGACACCTTCCCATGAGCTTATTAACAAAGACTCATTTTCAATTATTTTTAAAAGCTCAATACTTTTACAGAAGTTTAAATGGAAAGATGTGTTTAAATGTCACAATATTTTTTAGTGAGTTATTTAAAAATTAGAGATTTCACATAAAAATCTGGGTTTTTCTGGTTAACTCATTCTGGTCTTTGGAATAACGTAAAAACTTTTACATTTCTGCCGTCAGAACTCTCTTTGCCAGTCCATCCCATTTCTACATCATTTCCTTGTTTCCATAGGAAGCTGGACTCATTAAGTACCCAGTCAATTAAGCACCTGAAACAGGAAGAGGAGCACATCAAGGAGCACGTGTCTCCATGACAGAAAAAGAATTTAGTGACCTCTGGGCTCTGCCAGGCCTGTGACTTCCTTGACTAAGGAACGAATGACCTAAAGGCAGACTTTTCTCCTAGTTTCCAGCCTCCAGCTTTCCCTTAGGACATGTATGACTAGAAGGGTCCTCCTACCTAGAAAATCATATGATTAGATGATTACCTAAAACTTCCCATTTCATTCATTTCAGTTAAAATAACCAAATATGTAGGCATCACAAGAATATTAGAAAATATACGAAATTTCTATAATACAAATTTTAATCATTTGCTAACTTCAACTTGAGTTTTAGATTTTGGGTCAAAGCGGCATATTCCTATTTTTAAGAAGTGGTTGTATATTAATGTCACTTCCAATTAAAAATCTGGGGGGGTACAATTTTTAAAAATCATACATTAGCTATGTTTTTCTAAAATTAAAGTGCTAGACAACCTAGAACCACGTTACAGGTAACTGATAGCAGTGCTAATTAGGTCTTATCTAACAGAAGGCACAAGTCTTTCACTAGCCTTCAAGTGCATTTGTTTAGACCAAGCTTCACAATTCATATTTTAGTTTGCAAGTAATTTCTATTTAAATATTTATTTCTGGGAAATAAAAACTTGACTTCAATTAGAAAATCGACTTAAACTGACTCAAAGAAGAAGTCATGATGTCTGCTTCAGCACTTCTTCTATGTGCCTGAAAATGCTAGGGTCTTCAATGGTGGGCGTTACCTGGGAAGAAAAACAGACATATGAACGCTCTTCCTTGAACCCCTTTTACTCACCCTATAATTAAATAATTATACGCAATGGTGTATTCCCCATTATAATATTCATGTGGAAATGTTAAAAAAATAGGGAACTTTAAACCTAATATTTTTAAATGTATCTATAGTCTTCCAGAATGTTAAAATAAACTGTTCAATTAGCAAAACTTGGTCCTCCGTGGTACTTTCTCGAGAGTTTCTCTTATGGGACTTTCTATGTACCTCTGTAAAAAGAAAAAAAAATTGCATTTGCTCATACAACTGCTCTACTGTTGCACTGCCTTTTATTAGATCTTGATTGAAAATATGCATATCTATGCATGTATAATATGGACACAGATTAAAAGATACATATGCTTGAATCAGTCTAAAGTTTCCTAAAATAATTTTCACTCAATACAATCAGAACATATATCAATTAGAACTATTTAAAAATGTGTAGCCAACCTCAGTTGTTGCTTTCTCATTCACTAATAGCCATTAATGACTGCAATGAAGAAAATGGACCTTTAATTCAGTAAGATTGAGTTTCCACAAGTTTGTTTGACTTCAATTGACATTTACTACTAATAAAAATATTTCACACACTGATTTCTGTAATCTCAAAGCATATGGTTTTAATTAAACTGTGTTCCTTTCCAAAACCCTCATTCCTACAGCGAGAGTAGCTAGGCTATGCAATTTCCTCCTTAACATGGGAAAAAAAAGTGTGTTTTTACAGACATAATTCATGTTTGAGCACCATTTTTTAAAAGTTGTGTGGATGCCGAAGAAATGGGGAAAAAATATTTCAGAGCCCAGCATTAAACCTCCTTGATAATTTACCTTGTAAGGCTTGCCATTGACCAGGGCACACAGAGCTGACCGGGGGATTTTGCCGGATCTAGTTTTGGGTAACTGTTTGACAAACACTGCATTTCGGAAAGCAGCTACAGGCCCAATGCTCTGTCTAACATGGTTCACAATTTCTTCCAAAACTTGTTCCTCCGTTGTATTTATACCTAGAGAGAAAGTTCAGATGGTTAGCACTTAATTAACATAAGTTAAGCGTTCAGGGCCCAAATAGGGAGGAAAAAGATCTCTCACCTTCTCTCAACACGCAGAGGGCTAAGGGGACGTGACCTTTCAAAGGGTCTTCCTTGCCAACAACAGCGCAGTCGGCCACTGTGCCATGGGAAAGGACTGACTGAAATGAGGAAAAGCACCTATTTAGAATATATATACATATATATATATATAAATTATCACCATTGGAGAAAAAAAGTACACGTTAGAGAACTCAAAAACCCACAGCTGCCTGTGTGAAAATGATTACTAATTTACAATTCCCATCGTTACTTCTAGGGTGAATGGTTATGATTCCCCACCATCATCACTCACTAAAGGCTGACAGTAATTAAGACAAATTGCTTAGCTTACCTGGAAAGTAAGGGAATTGTTTCTTCATCTCAATTGTTTATTAATGAAGTCAGTGGGTACCACATGTAAACAGATTGCAGTAGGCCTCCCAAAACAAACGGCCTCATGGCATTTGCTTTAGTGCTGGCTCCCATAAGCACACCTACCAGAGAAATGCACGGCAGCCCCATGACTAAATACATCGTGGTTTTTTGCACCTGTTACCAAGCAAAGAACCGAGCATTTCTTTTCCTGAGTGGCCACACATCTAAAGAGGACTCTCCAAGATTTGAGAGAAGAGACTGGACGTGGAATGAAGCCCTGACATGAGGTAATCACCACTATCAAGGAGCCATTTTCATATCGCTCACCCTAAGCTCGTAATGTCTTAATGAACAAAGCAGCTACCTATCTGGAATCATAAGAACCCACAGAGTAACCGCATGAAATACAGAAGCTTAGCGTTTAAAAGACTATTTCTGCTGTGATGGGACTTTTAAAAATGAATATTCAAAAGTCCTTTTCTGAGAAAGTAATACATATTTCAGTGACTGCAAATCTCTTTTGCCTTGAGAAAACAGTGAGCAACATACCAACAGCTCATTTGGCTGTTCTCATTCCTTCTTCCACTCATTCATTCAACACATGCTTACTAAATACATCCTATGTTCCAACCACTGCACGAGGCTCAATGATGAGGATAAATAGATTGAGTACTGACTGTCTCATGGTGCTTACAGTCTAGTAGGGGAGACAAATATTAGTAAATAATCATAAATATTTAATTATGAATATCTAAATATAAAAAATGGTGACAGCTTTGGGGAAATAACTTGGGCTTGTTTTTTTTTGGTTCTTTTTTAAAATGATAGTATTTTTCTTTTTTTTTAAAGATTTTTATTGGGGAATTGGGGGATGGGAACAGTGCTGGGGAATTGGGGGAAGGGGAATAGACAAGTTGCTGTCCTTTTGTTCTTCAGTCTAGTTGTGGAGGACGTTGCTTCACTGGCCCAAGTTGGCACCATCATTGCGCTCTTCCCAGG